GGGCTCCTGGCTCATCTCCATACCTGCGACTCATAACTTCATCAAGCCTCTAGCACAAACACCTCAGATAACTCTCCACTCCTCGCCAGATTGTTTATTCTACATTATGGTAACTTGGTCTTGTCCACTTTAATTCCTGAGAAGATTCAACAGTGCTCAACTGTAGTTTTTATTCTTTATTTTTATGATTTGCTCTCAAGCCAAACCCAGCAAGTCTCTGGCTGTCACACCACCTCACTAGAAGATCCTCCCGCATCAATTCCAGCCACACCACCATCTGAAATCTGCCACTGCCTTCAACCCCCCTCTGCCAGTCTCAAGCCCTCACCAGACACCAGCCTCCCCATTCCTCATTGTTGTTGTTTAGTAAAACCGTTTTTCACCCCTCACCTCTGTCTGTGTCTGCTTTCGCTTCTAGGAAACTGACAAAAGCGTCAGAATAGGAAGTAGTAGAGTAATGCATAACAAAAGTGACATAAGGCATGAAATATCATAGTACAGTAAGGCAGAAATAGTCATAGTATATGAAGGCATAAAAAGGCATAAAAAGGCATAAAAAAGCATGAAAATAACATAGTATACTAAGGCATAAAACGTCAAAAAAACGTCATCGTATAGTAAGGCATGAAAAGTCATGAAAATATCATAGTATAGAAAGACAAAAAAGACAAAAAGTCATAAAATGTCATTAAAACCTCATAGTATAGCAAGGCATCAAAACCCGTAAAAACATCATAGTATAGTAAGGCATAAAAAGGCATAAAAGTCATTAAAATGTCATAGTACGAAAAGTCATAAAAAGTCATAGGATATAAGAGACAAAAAAAGCATTAAAAGTCATAAAAAGTCAGTATATTAAGGAATAAAAAGTCCTATTATAGTAAGGCATAATAAGTCATCAAAAGTCATAGTATAGTAAGGCACAAAAAGTGTAAAAACTTCATAGTATGGTAAGGCATAAAAACTCATAGCAAATAGTAAGGCATAGGAAGTCATAAAAACATGAAAGTATAGTAAGTCATAAAAAGTCATAGTACAGTAAGGCATAAAAATGTATGTATGGGTGTCTTTACAATTTAATATAACTATGCACATTATCAAATGAAAGAGTAAAAGTTGGTGGACTGTGGTTATGTTAAATCTTAGACAGTAATTTACAATTAATCCATGATAGCATTTATTCAATCACACTATCATTTTAAACTCTTAAGATGAACCTGTTTTTTCATATGCCGCTCTACTTACTATAAAACACTTTAGACATGGTGACATTTTCATCAGATTTTTCGACAGAAATTGAACTCTTACCCTTTGATATATCCACCATTTCATGTTACTCCTGTTAGCAACCGGACTGTTAACCTACAGGAGACAGAAGTCATGGTTATCTTGCTAGTTAACGCTAGCTAACATGGTTACACAACATCAGTCAACATTTTTCTGGAAACGTTAGGGGCCACTGTGATATTTTCACATGACAGGACACTTCAGATAGCCACCACCCTTTCAACCAATCAAATGCTAGCATCCCTAAATTGGTTGTCTTGGAGAAGTAGCCTTGAAATGATCTAATATGACTTCACTCGAAACATAGTGTGACCGAGTTCACTCAAAGATGACATGCAAACCCAGGCCTTTGCAAAGACCACTGGCATTCCCTGAAACTCTGAAGCGAGATACCCTTAATGACCTTCGAGGACCACTGCAATTAAAAAACAGTTATATCCCTTCATGACCCCAAGCCCTTACCACTTTAGAGCCACCTGGTACCACCAAGAACCTGTTTAGGGATGCACAGAAACTCTGCCATCACCAACAGAATCTCTTTAACTTGTGCTAGAATTTATAGAAAGACAACTACAACCACCTGAGTGTGCCTTATAACCTTGTCAAGGACCCTTGGAACCTCGTGAATGACCTCTGATACCTTGGCAAGAACTTCTGAACCTCAACTATCCCTGGAATTACATGAGTCTCCCTCCAGTTTCCAGATTGCCTCAGTGCTGGAACTATCCAAGAATCTGTCAGGACAGCTGACTGTATTTAAAATAGACTGAATCACTGAAAACACTGAAAACTTTGTGCCCCTAAAACACCCAAAGCACCCCTAAAAAATCTCCAAAATCCTCGTACAACGTGCCCCCCCCCCCTTTCTCTTCTGAAACTTTCCTGCACTTTCCGCCCTCTCCCTGTCTGTCTGTGGCTCAGGAGTGGAAAGTTTCTGTTGCCTCGGGCTCAGTGTTGACAGGAGTTTATGAATATCACAGAGGAGACAGATTAAGACAACGAGTCTGAACAGGTTTACAGGACAGACAGAGGAGGAACAATCTACCATCAGCAGAAACCTGTTAACAAACCTCCTGTTTCTTCCTCTTCTTATGTCCCCGGGCTGAGGGATTCCTGCTCAACCTTCACTACACCTGCTCCAACAGAAATAAACTTTTATTTGTCAAGTTTAAGACTTTCACAACAGATCAAATGTGGGTTTAATATCATAATATCAACACTGGTGGAAAAACCTCTGGGCTAAATGAATGATTTGCTTTTAAAAGGGTGCCCAACATCCCCAAAACCACTTTAAGGACTTTAAAGTCAACCTTGACAAGCTTTTAATTGTCATCAAGTAGCTCTGGAAACTCTCAAGAAGCTCTGGGATCCCCTCAAGGACTACTAATACCTCCTTAAGGACTACTGAAAAGCCAAAGGGACACTTGAACTCCTTTAAGGACCCTAACGCCACTTGAAAGGTCTCTAAATTGAGACTTTGGGATCCTTCATGGGTGCCTCATACCTGCTTAAGGAGTGCTCAAACTCCCTCAAACTCCTGCCACCTCAACCACCTCAAAGACTCTCTGAAGACCCATTTCTCCTTAAAAATACAATACCCTCACTGCTGAAACCACCTCATGACTCCTGGATAACCCCAAACCCCCCAACTACAATGAGAACTGAGAAAAGCTTTGGAACCCTTAAACCCTGAAAGATTCATTTTTAAGGCCCCTGAAGCCACGGAGGTCCCCACTAAGACCTGAGTCCTAGGAACACCTCAGTGTTTCACTTGTGAAACTGAAGGAACTAAACTGAAGAACCCCCTTAACGAACCCTTAATTCTCTTTAAGAAGCCCAGAGATCCTCTCATGGACTCCTGGTACCTCCTTAAACACTACTGAAAGCCCCTCAGGCCACCTCAAGGATACAGAGGACCCCTTTAAGGACACTGAGGCCCCCTGACAGGGACGTTCAAAGGAACTTTGAATGTTCTCTAAGAACCACTGGAAAGCTCTGGGATCCCAAAAGACCCCCTGTACTTCCTCAGTCTCCCAGAATCACTCCTCGGACTCCTCGGAGAACCCTGAGACCCTCAAAAATCCCAGGGGGATCCATCATGGATACAACATCCCTTCATAAACACTGCTGGGAACCCTTCACCCCCCCAGAAAACCTCCTGGAACATTTGTAAGGACCCTTGAAATTCCCTCAAGGACCGACCTTGAGTCCAGCTGTGAAGGAGGAGGAGAGAAGTTGGTAACACGTGGAGTGTTGACACAACACACACACACACACACACACACACACACACACACACACACACACACACACACACACACACACACGCAGATGTAATAACTGGTGTATTGATCTGTAAATGTTTATAATTGGCTTCAAACATTGAATTTACACATTTCTACATAAAATCAACAGAGAATCATGATGCAGTGAATCATGTGACTGAGTTTGTTTCTATATAAACAACCTGATCAATGTCTCTGATCCAGCTCATTAAATCCATCACTGGTTTCATTCCATCGATGTGAAAACTTCCTGTGTTCATGTAGTTGTTGTGTCATGAAGAAAGTGAGGTCTGATGTCCATCAGTAATAACACTGATATAACAATGTAACAGCTGCACAGTGAAGTTTATATATTTAAAAATATCAATGATCTTTTTACATTTTAAAAAAGAAGAAGGAAACAGGACGAGTCAAAGAAAGCAGATTTAAAATGAATAGAAAAGTGAAAGAAGGAGAGAAATGTGGAACGCAGGACTGTAATGATCTGGTCTGGATTTTACTAAAGAATTCATTTAGAGACTGAGTTTAAGTTGATGTGTTTACATGTTCTGTCCTGCAGCGTCCCAGAGAGAGCGTTAGAGACGCAGCACTGCCCCCGTGTGGCTGAGACTCCACACAGCAGCAGACGCTCACAGGACGCATCGGTTCATCTCCTACTCTTCTGTTAAAGCAGAACTGACGGCGACACAAGGACGACCTCCAGTGGAGACTGAGGAGCTGCACATATACACAACCTGAGCTAGATAATAAGACAGTGTCCTACATGTCTCACCTGTAAGACACATCCCAGTCAGTCCAACCAGATCTGATCATCTGTAACTTTGATTTATTTGTATGTGCTTCTTGTTTCAGGGACGACAGATAAAGAAACATTTTACAGACATTGTGTATTTAAGCTGATGTTCATGAACATGTGTCGTCTCTATCAGATAAGACAATAAGTGCACTTCACTTTTACTTCACTACATTTATTATTAACTTTACTTTGTAGATTCTTATAAATACTAAAAATTATTAATATTATGAACAAATAAATTCTGATATTTTCTTACAGATCAAAATAAGAATTTATTGATCAATAATCATAATAATCCATGACTCTGCATGATCAGGACTAACATTTCACTTCTGCTACTTCAACTTTATTAATTATTATTAGTGTGTTCTATTTGTAATTTACCCAGAACACCACAGTGTAGAAACACTGTTCACAATATCAAAATAAACAATCAGCTGGATAAAATAAAGTCTGAAATATAGTGGATTTATTTTTTATTTTCATAGATTAAACTACCTTGTATTATGTTACCTGCGTCTGACACACTGCGTCTGTACATGAGGGTGATGTGAGACACGTTGATGCGCTGCAGTAAAACCCTGTGATGTGAAACAACGTGTTTTCATTCAAAACCCAATAAACACATTTAATGATTTCAGTTCACATTTCTTTTAATTAAAAAACACAAGTCACAAAGTTTCTAACGAAGCGGAGCAGACACACAGTCGCTTTATATTCAAACTCAACATTCCAACAGAAGAAAAAGAAAAAAGACTAAATCTGGTTTTTAAAGAAGGAAAAACGTCAGTGTTCAGAAAAGTGAAAATAAAGTGAGACTCTTCTGCTCTCACCTGACAGCAACACATGTCTCTAGTGACCAGCTGTGACCACATCACCTGAGACACCTGTTGCTGCAGGTGTGACCAGAGCCTCAGTGTCATCAGTGTGTCACTTCCTGTTTGTCCGATTAACATTATTACTTCCTGTTTGTTGAAACTCGTCCCGCAGACACTGACATTTATTAAAACCCTCTCGTCCTCTCCTCCACCTCCTGGTTAGCCTAGCTTAGCACAAACACTGGAAGCAGAGGGAAACTGTTAGCCTGCGACTCTGATGTACAAACAGAAAACGTAGAGGAGACGCAGCTTCTGACGGGGAACAGGAGGGTTTAACATGTGGGCGGGGACCTCAGAGCGCCTCCCTGATTGGCTGATGAGTGTCAGAGCGGTTTGGGGAGGGTCGACACCTCCTCCGCACACTCGTTGTAGGCGTCTTGATAATCCTCGTGAGGTTTGATCAGGATCACGCAGGTCGGCCTCTTGGATCCTGCAGACGAACCCAGATCCTGAACAGAGCCGAGGACACGACAGTCAGACTCACACAAACAAACATGTCCCTCCACAATAAAGCTCTGCGGCGGCGGACTCACCACTTTAGATGGGATGTAGGCGTACGGCAGGTTCCTGTCCTCACACATGACCGGCAGGTGACAGTAGACGTCGATGGGCAGCGTGTCGCCGGCCAAAACCACGATCCTGCAGAGACGCATCAGAGACGGTCAGGGGGTCAGGAAGACCGGTGGGGCTGTGATGTCATCAGTCTGAGACAGATGATTTTCAAACATCACGAAGTGAAAAGAGTGAAAAACATGGCCGCCCACTCACCCCTTCTCCCCCTTGTTGATGAACTTCTGAACCTCCTTCACTCCTCGTCGGATGTTCTTCACTTTAGCAGCTGGAAACAGAAACACCATGAGACTCTGATCCGGACTCTGATACAGACTCTGATCCAGACCCTGATCCAGACTCTGATCCAGACTCTGATCCAGATCTGATACAGACTCTGATCCAGACCCTGATACAGACTCTGATCCAGACCCTGATCCAGATCTGATCCAGACCCTGATCCAGCCCCTGATCCAGACTCTGATCCAGCCCCTGATCCAGACTCTGATCCAGCCCCTGATCCAGACTCTGATCCAGCCCCTGATCCAGACTCTGATCCAGCCCCTGATCCAGACTCTGATCCAGCCCCTGATCCAGACTCTGATCCAGCCCCTGATCCAGACTCTGATCCAGCCCCTGATCCAGACTCTGATCCAGACTGATCCGGCAGACCTGATTCTGACATGACCCCCCCCCCGGGGACAGAAGCCGAACACAGCCCCTCCCTCACTTGTGTCGTGTTTCTGCTGATGAGCCAGAAAACTTTACGTTTTGTTTTTTAAACTGAATGTGGCAGCATCACCATGGCAACAGCAGAAACTGATCAGCAGCAAACAACACAATAATCACAGTCTGATTGTTTCTGAAGATCAAACTGATCGATCATGATACAGGAGGGTTGTTTGCCGCCTTCTGCCCCCCCCCCTCAGAAAATGGCTAAGCGGCTAATTAAAGAGAAATTACTTTCACGTTTCACGCCGAATTAATCACAACAGACAACGTTTCTTACAGGAGGTCACTTCCGGTCCTGTCTGTGAACTAAGTCAAATTAAAGCTTTAGTTCTCTGACGGAGTTTGGCGCCAAGCTCACGGCTCGTGTTGCCAGTTTGGATGTTTTACCCTTTTTGACGCATTTGTAAAGCTTCTTGCTGAGTTTCCTGGAGGCCAGCGGCTGAGCGATCGGGTTCACGTTGGCGATCAGCTCCTGGTAAGACTTCTCGTTCCCGCCAGCGGCCTCCTCTCCGTCCGCCGTCACCTTCTCCTTCTTCACTTTAGTCATTTCTGATCGAACCGTCTGATCGAAGGGAATAATCGATAGCTTTCTGCTCTGGTTCCTGTGGCCGGTCACAACACGCACTGCGCAGGGGAACCACACGTGTTTGAGCTTTTGTTTCTTCCGGTTCCTCTGAGCGGAGACACACAGCGCCCCCAGCGGCCCGGAAGGCAACAACACCCGGCCTTTCAAAATAAAAGACCGGTGGACAAAACCGAAAACAACGCAGCTCGGAAAGGAAAATACAGAGTAAATGAATAATGTGAAAGGAGATGAAGCCACGG